CCGACAAACCACCACTATGAATATGAGTGGTGATATAACGTTTTACCTCACGTTGCCCGAGGACCATCCTATACTTTGCCGTGATATAGGAAGCTAATGATACAACGTTTTACCTCACGTTGCCTGAGGACCATCCTATACCTGGTCTTGATATAGGAAGCTAACTTTACTAAGCGGATCCACTAGCTTATCTTTACGGGTTCATCTAAAAAGTATGACCCGTTAACTCCCATGTTGGCTACATGGTTCTTATGGAGAGTTGAGTTTAATATGAACTCGCGTCCCCAAATCGGTGCTCGATACTACTCCCAAAATGCTTTTAGCTCATAAGTGTTTTAAACACATCTTTCTTTTAAATGAGACAATTACTCAAAAATCTAGCCCAAAGGCTCACTTGGAAACGATGTTCCTTTTTCTTGAAAACTAGCCCTAAGGCTCTTTTGGAATCATAGTTCCTTTCTTACTCAAATGTAAAAACATTTAGAAACTTCTTTGGGAATACATAGTTCCCTAATAGCTTTTGAGAAATGAACTCAACTTACACTCTTGACTTAACTTGAGTCTTGAGACTCTTTACTTAGCTTGAAACTCTAAGCTCTTTACTTGACTTGAAACTTGAGTCTAAAAATTAAGTTAAAACGTTCAATGAAGACTTTTGAAAAGCTTGGAGGACTTGCTTGAACTTACTTCTTAACATGGCTTGACTTGACTCTAACTTCTCTTTAACTTGATACTAACTTGCCTTGAATTGAACTATGGATTCAAGGTATATGATCACACGTATTTGGATGAGTTCGGGATGTTTAGAAACACTTTGGGGTGTTGGAAACAACTAGGGAACATAGGTATAACACCTAGGAACATGCATGAGAAAGCATGGAAGGAAAGAGGGAACATGGCGTCCTTGGCGCTCTGCAAGGCGCGGAGCGCCAGCCCTCGAAGGTCAGAGGTCACCTGCTGGCGCTCTGAGAGGTGCGGCGCCTTAAGGGGAAAACCTCAGAGCCCCTTTTGGGGCGCGCTGGCAGGCGCGACGCGCCGACCCCTTGCCCAGAAAACTCGACTTTTCTCCCTCTTTTCTTCAACTCTAAACCACTCTTACTTCAAGGGCTTCAACCCCAAACACTAAGGATCATCATATCCCTCAACATACCATGGATTACAACTCAAAACACAACCCCATCATGTCCCACAACCAACAATAACTTCAACAACACAACTAGCAACATCAACAACAATTTCAATCTTTTCTCAAATCATAAAATGAGCTTGGTGTGTGGGGGAAAGGATCAACCCACACAAAGAACTCGCATACCTTGAAAGGGATCACCCCCGATGAAAATCCACGTTGATCTTTGACGGAAACTTGTTGATCTCCTCTTTCTCCTCTTCTCCTTCTCCTTCTTCTCTTCTTCTTCTCTAGCCCTAGCTTTTACTCTTTTAAAAATGGGACAAAATGATCCAAAGATCAGCCCTATACAACAATATAATCCCAAAAGAAATGGCTAGGGAAAAGACCAAAATGCCCTTAATTTTCCGGACAGATTTCCCTGCCAACTGCCCAACTTCTAAAGGGCATAACTCGCTCATACGGACTCGGAATTGAGAAAACTCAGCAGCGTTGGAAAGATCATTCCACAAGATTCACAACCATAACTGGAAATACTCCTAAATCATCATGAGCTGGAAGTTATGACTGCTCAAAGTTGGCCAAAAATTCATTTTTTTCCACACTTAGCCAAATTTTCCAGATTTTTTTTAAAAAAAATTCTTTCCAAAAATGACTATTTCCAATTTCCAAGCTTTTTCATAGTTATTTCAACTTGCTGGATGTTACAAAAGGTTTCACAAAAGATTCGTCTGAAAGACAAATCACCAAAATATTTATGGGCCAACACATATGAAAAACTGAGAAAATCGTCTAATTCCTGTAAATGGGCCCCTAAATGCCAAAAAATCACTCTAAAATGGTGAGATTGGCGTACTTCTCCCCCCAACTCCCTACGGATGGTTCCATAAAGGTTTCGCAAAAAATTCATCAGGAAGTCATATCACCAAAATATTCATAGGCTAACACACGAAAAAACTGACAAAATCGTCTAATTCTTGTAAATTGGCCATCAAATGTCCAAAAATCACTCAAAAATGGTGAGATTGTACGTACTGCTCCCCAACTCTCTACGGAGGGTTCCATAAAAGTTTCGTGAAAAATTTGTCTAGAAGTCATATCACCAAACTATTCATATGCTAATACATACGAAAAATTAAGAAAAATCCCTAATTTCTGTAAATTAGTCTCTAAATGCCTTAAAATCATTCTAAAATGCAATTAAATAAGTGGAGTTTGAGAAAAATGATATGTATGAGTCTTATCCTTAGTAATATAAGAAATGCAATTCCTCACTGTGATTTGATGATAGCGAAGTTAATATTCATAATTTTGTCATTAAGAATCGTGTATTTGTAAACCTCAATATATCTATAAAATGAATATATCTTGTTAATTGCAAACAGTTATTCACCATCGTATAATTACTTACCATGGGTACATAAAGTTTCACTGTGAAAATGGTCAAATATGTCATCGAACTTTGAGATTAGACTCATTTATGTCGTCCATTAAAAGTTTAGCTCATTTATGTCATTTCCGTTTGAATAAAAGGTTGATCCATGCCATTATTTTTTAACGAAAAACAGTTTGGTTTTGCAAAACCAATTCTTTACACATGGTCAATTATGATTCGGTCAAGTCATTAATTAAATAAGTTTTTAAAAGCGAAAATGCTCAAATATGTCATCGAACTTTGAGAAACGTTCATTTATGTCATCCGTTAAAAACTTGGCTCACTTATGTCATTTTCAGTTAACAAATAATGGCATGGATGACCCTTTCTCAAACGGAAATGGCATGGATGAGCCAAACTTTTAACGAATGACATAAATAAGTCTTTTCTCAAAGTTCGATGACATATCTAAGCCTTTTCTAATTAAATTTTTAACCAAACTAACACCTAATATTACAAAAAAATCCCTAACTAGGAACACGTGATATATATATTTGCTAGCTTTCACCTCTAATTAAACTCTATGTAAGATTACATGTTCATTTTCACACCTTCTTACTATTTCGAAGAAAAGAAAAAATATGGGGCTGAAAGGCAAGTTGATTGCGTCAATGGAGGTGAAGTGTGGAGGACACTTGATTAATGATATTATACACACCAATACTCATCAAGCAGCCAACATAAGCCCTACTATCAACCATTTCGAGGTTCATGAGGGTGAAATAGGCAAAGTTGGTACGATTATTAACATGAAATATAAGGAAGGTAACATACATTTATCCCCTCTCTCTCTCAATTTGATTTACTTGCATCAATTTTCTATATTTAGGTGTATTTTGTAGAATGAAAATAATTTGTTTGAGAAAATAATCTTCATAAAAAACATAGTTGATGATGTTTGGACAAGAGGGAGTTGCTCGGATGATAAGCATTAATCTGAACGTAGTGAATTCGAGTCACCAAGGGAGGAGGGATAAAAAAAAAATTGTTTGATTTTTGTCAGCTCTTCTTTTGAGATTTTAAAGACTACTCCATTCAGTAAAGATAGACAAACCAATATTCAAGTGCATTAATAGATAATTTTTGGAGAAAAATGAAAATCAGTAAAAGAAATAAATAAAATAAATATAATATTTTGTAAATGCTTTTAAGTCTTTCATGAGGAATTGTGCAGTTGAACTAGGAGTAACACCTTTGTATTTGCTAAATTTAATGAATATAGATGGACAAGAAAAGACTATGAAGTATGAAATTGAAGCCATAGATCGTTACAAGAAATCAATAACCCGGAAAGTGATTGGTGGAGATTTGTTAGATTTCTATGGTTCATTTACGTTCGTATCATCATGTGAACAACAATGGATTACATGGACATTTGAGTATGAAAAGAAAATAGAAAACAACCCAGCGCCCCTTAATTTCTTGGGTTTTATTCTTGATGTGACCAACAATATTGAGGGTCACTTTCTCAAAAAAATAGAAAAATATATTGTTTTATATATGTTTATGGAGAAAATAATCAAAATGGTCCTTCATGTATCAGGATTGCTTTATATTGATCCTTAATATATTTCACATGATCTATATGGTCCTTATTGTATTATAAAAGAAGATCATTTTGATCTTTAGCCCTAAAAACTAACTGAAAAAATAAAAAATGTTAAACTTAACTATTGGTGGGCCCCTTATTCTTCCATCTATCTTGCTCATTTCTTCTCCTTCATCTTCTACTTTTGCCATTTCTTCTGCAAGTAACTATCCCCACCAAAAAAGAACCAAAACCAAGAGAAACCCAGAAAGTAGAACTACCTGATAAGACCATCCTAGCTGATTTCCACGGCCACGAACACCTGATAAGACCATCCTACCTGATAAAGGCACAAAAATGATCAAGAAAGATGAATATACATAAGAACCAAATCTCGATTCTAGTGTCACTGGTACAAGAGCGTCTAAGTATAGAAAGAGACTATCTACAACAAATCTGTCTAGTCAAAATACAACATAAATAGGCAGAATGAAAAAGGGAAAGATGCAAGTCTCTAGACGGCAAGAGCTCACCACGATCCAATCAACAACGACCATGGGAGATCAGAAAGCAGCGAGGGTGACTCGTACAACGTGCATCAGAAAAAAATTTAGAAGTGCAATATGAGTACCAAAACACAAGTAACTAGAAGGCATCATAGGCCGACCCGAGCTCAGATAAAAAACATATAAATATAAGAGTCGATAGTGCTATAACTCAGCGAATTCATCTACTATAGTCATACACAAGTACCGATAATGGAGATGAGTGAAATGAACATGGATAGCTTATTATGACATTTACCTCTTGGCTCAGCAACTTCCCAAGGCAGCAAAAGAACCTTTCATTCTTAATAAGAGATAAGTCCAGAGTATAAGGTTTAAAGTTGATAAGACATTTTTTTGTTGGTTAGTCTTCTCTTCTTGTTGTAGTAATGATGGGTAGTAATTTGGTTTTTATGCTATTAGCCCATTTTTTATGGATAGTTTCTGTCCATGTGTTGCAATTAAATCTTTGGATCTATTAGCCCATTTTTTATGGATAATTTCTATCCATGTGTTGCAATTAAATCTTTGGATGATATATGCAACACATCCACTGTTACTGAAAAATTTATAAAAAATAAATAAATAAGTTGAATTATTGAGTTATAAGGAAGATAAGTTTGACTATATATGGACATTTTTTTATGAAGACAAACTTGTATCAGGGATTTGATAATTCCAACGGGTTCAAAACGTGCTTTATGATTAGTTTGTGTTTAGATGATCTTTATTATTATTATTATTATTATTATAATAATAATATTATTATGATTATAATATTATTATTATTATTATTATTATTATGATGATTATTATTATCTAAAAGCACTTGCACTACACAAAACATAATAATTCAATGGCAATTAGTTAACGGTATTAAATTACCGTTAAATATGCATTTTTAGAGGTAATTAAAAATTCTTGTAAATCTCTCTAAAGCAACTATAGTGACATTGAATCAAATGATAATTAATTAATGTCGGTAAAAAACCTTAACACTATTTGTTAATGTGTATATTTATTGCAGCTAACAATTATTTTTGTCTTAGTGTTGGTCTTTTAAATACCCCTAAATCTACTTGAAGTCCTAGCCATCCGCCTCTAACTCCACACAAGTTTGAAGTCTCTATCTACGGTCAGATCCTTTTCTAAATCCCCCTATAACCACTTATTAAAGAGAAATTTTTTCCTAGACTATGGTGGCGATTCTATTATTGTGTTTCAAAATTAGGAGAAACAAAGTTTCAACAAGTAGACTAAAAGGCAAAAGCTACGACTAGAAATCCAACATAGGTGGTCATTATGAAAAGAAATTAGCAAAAGCTACGACTAGAAATCCAACTTAGGTGGTCATTATGAAAAGAAACTAACTCTTTAGGGAATTTTATTTGCCTCACATATAACATAGGGAATCTGGTTAGCACCCATATTTAAGAATCAGATTAGAGTTGATTTACCCATCGGTGGAATTGAGATATGTGTCATCACGACCTCAATTTTTTGGATAGTAACATTAAGAATTGTGATGCCATCCATGGGCTAATAGCAACAACCCGATCCCATTACTTTAAATGTGGCCAACAAGAAAGAAACAAGCAACGTCTACTTTGTAATCAAATTCAACCCTCTTGTGTCGTGTAAGTGTAATAAAATGACATGTATATATACTTTGACAAATGTGTTTTATAATTCTCATAGATTATAACACAAAGCATGGGCTATTACACATTATATGGGTTTTATTTAAGCATACAAATCATAGACTATACGAAGATAGTGAACTATGATGATTATTTAATCAACAAAAGTAGCAATAGCATTGGCTAATACTCCAACCAAATCCCAAATGACAAGCTCCATGAATAGCTCCCTCCCATTTGATGCATTGATTGTCACAATCCTCAGTAACAACGCAAGGCCCTTTCCATGTTGCACTTAGTGTTTCACAACCTATTGCTTCTGCCTTTTTCATCTCTTGAGTGTAAAAGAAAGCAACAAATCAAAAGTTAACATTATTCTTCTTCTTTTTTTGTATTGACTAGAAATAATTACTAACACCGCAAAAGAAACAGGAATTAACTACGAACTTCGTCGTTAATTTAATTTCAAATCCCTCGTAGCTATCCAAATGTTGAAATAATATATCGTTCCATTTGATTAATGACGAATTTTGTTATTTAGTTAAGAGTTCATCTATCACAAATTTCAGCATCATTCGAATTTTGAGAGTCAATTTTTTTACATTTTGATTGTGAATTCGAACATGAAATCTTCAAGGTTTCAAAATAAAATTTATATATTTCAAATTACGTAAATATAAGTCACAATGACTGACAATTTAGAATATTTAAAAGTCATATACTCCTCTGTCCAATAATGGTTGTCCACTATTAATTTGGCACCCCTTAAGAAATTATAAATAGAAGAATAATTTTACTATAGCATCCTTTGAATATAATAAATACAACATTTTGAAAAGTGTAATAAGGAAATGATTATAATTAATGATAAGGGTAAATTGGGAACTAACTATAAAATTATCTATTGATTTCATAAAGTGGACATGTATTGTTGGACATCACAAAATAGTATATTGGATAGCCATTGTTGGACGGAGGAAGTATATAAATCACAGTCAAAGAAAATTATGTTTTACTCTTAGAAGCCAAACGATACCACGTAAATTAAAATAGAAGAGTATGCCTTTTAAATCCGAGATAGTGCAAGGGTTTGTAGTATTTTAAATACTCACTAGTTGATGCGATGAGGAAGAAGAAGCAGAGAGCAAAAAAGGCAGCATAGTGAACTTTAGACTTAGCCATATTTCTGAATTTTATTTTTTAAGTTTTGTGAGGATTTAATTTTACATTTTATAGAGAGAGGGAGTCGGTTATTACTAGAACAAGAAAAAACAGTTGGTTGTGAAAAATACAAAGAGAATAATCAACGTTGGAATCCTATGTCTTTGAGAATGGTGAAGAAAATTATTTTTTTTCTATCATATATTGGTTCATATTATATGGTGTTTTTTTATTTTTATATTTAGTTAAAAAATAAATATATATTTTTTAATTAAGAATTATAGTCGTACTTTAATATTTTATTTTATATTAGTTTTTTTTTATATCTAGGCATGTAGACATGTGATCTTTTATATTTTTCCCAAGTTTCAACCAATCTTTAGTTTTAAGCATGTATTTATAAATTTTGTTTTTGTTTCAAATTTTATTTCATTTTTCGGTAGATTTTACTTGAGAAAAAAAATGAAAACCACAAAAATAGTTGTTTAGATGATACTTTTGTTTTCGGTTTTTAAGGGAAAAAAAAAGGAAAATTTCGAAAAAAATGTTCTTTAATTTTTCTGATATTTAATATCCTAGTAATAGTTTTATTGTTGTTTTTCTTAAAAAAAAAACAAAATTTTAAAAAAATCAAACCCGATAACATGTTGTTAGGTGATTGTAGACATTGAAAATAACTCTTATTTGACTAATAGTATATCTTTTTCTACTAGTATTACTTTTGTATAAATTCTTTTAAATGTAAAATTTTACTCATAAGTTTTTGTTATTTATATAAAAAAATTTTAAAAAAACTATCATTTTAATTTATTTTCTTTTAAAAGACTTATGTTGAGGATGAAGAGATTATTTGAAACATGTGAAAAGATAATATTAGTAACTTGTTATTATTGTTGTTGACTAGCATATCTTTATAAAATTATATGTAATTAAAGTATTGTAATTACAAATATTCATTTATAAAAGAAACATAAAATTATGTGATTCATCAATATGGCATTTCAAAATATTTTGATATCTTGTTTATGAACTATAATTGATTATTTTGTAAGATTTGTCTCAACAAGAGAAAGAATTTCATACTATGAATTGCTCCAAGCAACTGATCCACTCAACGAGAGCAATTTGATTGGTTCTGGGAGTTTCGTCTCTGCTTACAAAGGCATCCTAAGAGATGGGACATTCATTGCAGCTAAAGTGTTCAATCTACAATTGCAAGAGGCATTTAGGAGTTTCGATATAGAATGTGAAGTTTTATGCTACCTTCGCCATAGGAATCTCATCAAAGTCATCACTAGTTGTTCCAACCTTGATTTTAAGGCGTTGGTACTCGAATACATGCCCAATAGTAGCCTCGATAAGTGGTTGTATTCACGCAACTACTTCTTAGACATCAAACATAGGCTGAGTATAATGATAGATGTGGCATGTGCATTAGAATATCCCCACCATGGCTTCTCATTGCCCGTGATACACTGTGGTTTGAAGCCTAGTAACGTCTTGTTGGACGAGGACATGGTTGCACACCTAAGTGACTTTGGCATTTCAAAAATGATTTCTGAAGAACATTGGGTTATATCGCACTAGGTAAGTTATCTTAATTAATTGCTTTTTCTGAATGTTCTCTTTTTCCTTTTTCTGCCAAGAAATGTTGAATGTAAAATTGTCTCATTGTACAGTATGGATTGGAAGGATTGGTGTCAACCAAATGCGATGTTTATAGTTATGGGATAATGTTGATGGAAACATTTACAAGGACAAAAAGCATAGTAATGAGATGTTTGATGGAGATCTTAGCTTAAAGCAATGGGTGAGCAATTCACTCCCACATGCAGTAATCGAAGTTGTCGATCCCAACTTAATAACCCCACAAGACAATCACTCAGTGAAAAAATGGATTGTGTGGTATCCATCATGAAAGTAGCAATAGATTGTTGTGTTGAATTTCCTAAAGTAAGGATTGACATGAAAGATGTTGTAGCGAGGTTAACGACCATCAAGATTTAACTTCTTGAATGTTGAACAAGTTCTCAGGCTGAACAAATGTTTGCAAGAACATTGATCCTTTAAATAGGCTATAGATTTACATCTTTTCATCACAACATAGAAAACAAATGTTATGTATACCTCTTCCATCTTGAATTTTTGAAGTGGTTTTAGTTTTAGTCTAATCCCCCATTACTTTATTTTATATTTCCTTTTTATCATTGATAGAACTCAATACATAACTTCTAATGGCTTTCATAAAAATATGTTTCATATATCACTACAACAATGACAAATTTTAGCCGCGATAAATGTACACATTAACAAAGAGTGCTACAATTTTTACTGGTATTAGGTAATTGTCATTGAATCCAATGTCGGTATAGACTTTAGAGATATTTACAAAAAGCACTAATTACCACTAAAAACATATTTAGATGCAATTAAGCTATTGTCAATAATTATTTGCAGCTAAAGATCATTTTTGATTTAGTGCGTGCAAATTTCCTCCTAGTGGTACTCTTTTACTTTCTTCATCTCTTAAGTCAATTTAGTTTTTATTCAATTGTCTTCTAGATTAGGGAAAAGTGGACAACTAATATGAGACAGAAAAAGTGCAATATTAATAAAAAACAATTGTGATGAAAGAATAACTCGTTTGAGTCTCAAAATATGAACGGCACCAAGTAAATTGCGATAGATGGACTCATAGTTCGTGACAAAGCAAAAAAAACTCGTAAACCTAACAAGAAATGAGTGTAGTTGGCAGTTAGAGCTCAAAAGAAGTCCCAGTATAAAAGCTTTGCAAGTATTTGTCTTGTTTCAATCGGCGAAAATAGCTCTGTTTACAGAACAAAAGCCAAAATGATGAAATTTCTGGGCAAACAACATTAATTACACAACCATCAACCTTCATCTACATACCTACTATATCCCAATACTGGCCATCTAACATGTATGTAAGACAAAATTAAAAGCTACTACTTTGGTTCTCTGTTACGTATATATACGAAGAAATAAAAACTCATTTTCCAGAATATCACTATTATAACAATGAAGTCCATAATTAGACAGAGAAAACAGAGTCTGAAACCAATTGAAACTAAGGATAAATCCGTTGAAGCATCTGAAGAAGAGCCATTGAGTCCGTCATCTAGGCTATTTCACGAGCCCAACTTCAATGTGCACGTTCTAGCTATTTTGGGCATGAAAACAAGAATAAGTACTGAGCAAGCTCCCAGAGAGCATTTGGCTAATACTTTGCTTAAGCATCCTCGTTTCTCCAGCCTTCAGGTACCAACACAACACTTAATTTGCCTTGCTATCATTTTTAGTAGGTTTAAAAAAGAATGTTTCTTTGACAACTCTTTAATTAACTTTCCACATTACATGTTTGATATTAGACGACAAAACTAAAGAACATTTTGGTACATTTTATGATTCAAAAATCTTATTTATTTTCTTGAATTCAGTGCCAAGTTAAAATCAGGCAAAAAAATTAAACAGAGATATTACTATTTTCAGATTAAAATTATCAAGATGATGAATATGTAACATATAAACATATAAAAACATATATTGCATTTGATGGTAGCCAAAAAAAATAAATGAAATTACAAGTACTTAGGAACAAGTCTAGTATACTTTTCTTCAGTAAGTTCAATACATAAATATTGTTAACCAAAAAAGGGAGAATTGTGTAATTAAAAGCACAAAACCCTCGTATTCAAAAGTCTTCTTTACTTTCTTAACCCTCGTGTTTCATAGGTGGTTGATGAGGAAAAAGGCGGAGAAATGAAATGGGTGCGGACGAAGGTGGACTTAGATCAGCACATTATTGTACCACAAATTGATGAACAAAACCTGAAAGAATCACCAGACAAATTTGTGGAGAACTATATTCATAACCTAAGCAAAACCACTCTTGACAAATCGAAACCTATGTGGGATCTCCATCTTCTTAACATCAAAACATCCGATGCTGAGGCTGTTGCCATTTTCCGAATCCACCATTCACTTGGAGATGGCACCTCTCTTATTTCCCTTCTCTTGGCGTGTACTCGCCAAACTGCTGATCCAAATAATGTTCCAACTATTCATGGAAATAAAAAGAGCCTTATTGATTCTTCAGAGCATTCCAATACGGGATTGCGGCGATATGTTACAAAAATTTGGTCTTTTATGAAATTGTTTTGGAACACAATAGTGGATGTATTGATGTTTATGTCTACAACTATGTTCTTGAAGGACACAAATACACCAATTAAGGGTAGACCTGGTTCTGAGTCTAATCCTAGGCGATTTGTTTACAGGACAGTAAGTCTTGACGATATTAAATTGGTGAAAAATGCATTGAATATGGTAAGTCCATACAAATTAATTCTATATTGTAGCAACACCCTTCTCTTAAATTTTGAAATGTAGATGTTTCTAGTGCGTTTTTTGATGTTGTTATCGGACTTTGTCATTTCTTGAACAGACAGTAACGGATGTCGCTTTGGGAGTAACACAAGCTGGTTTGTCTATCTATCTTAATAGGAGATATGGTAAGTTTTCTGCCTCATGTATTTTGGACTTACTAAGCTTAGTTGATCGAAAATCTTATGGAAGAAATCTTTAATGCAAAATTTTACAGGGGAGGGCAAGAAAGACGGGGGAGAAACAGAGAAAAACAATAATCTTCCGAAGAACATTAGACTTAGATCAACTATACTTATGAACCTAAGACCGGCTGTCGGAATTCAGGTGATGGAATCCATTCAAATTTTAATCAGCACTTAAGTTTTCTTAGATTATATACTTAAAGTTAATTAATTAACAAATAGGCTTTAGCTGATATGATGGAGAAAGACACTGAGGCAAAATGGGGGAATTGGATTGGTTTTGTTCTTTTTCCCTTAAAAGTTGCATTACGAGATGATCCGTTAGATTATATCAGAGAAGCTAAGGCAACTATTGATCGAAAGAAGAATTCACTTGAAGCTTTCTATACATTTTCCATTTCAGAATTAGCACTCAAGATTTTTGGGATTAAGGTAACTAATGTTCGTTCTCAATTCTTGATCCTACACGTGAGATCTCTTCATTGTAACATTTGACTCGTTTTTCAGACATCAAGTTCGATATCGCACCGAACTATCACCAATACAACAATGTGCTTTTCTTGTTTGCCTGGTCCTCAAGAAGAAATTTGCTTCTACGGCCACCCTTTGGCTTACATTGCACCCGGTTCTTATGGACAACCTCATGTAAGTGTTTTACTCATACTAATTTCAAGTTTGGGAAAAAGTACAAATATACCCTCAAACTATCGTACATGATATGCAGATACCCTCCGTCATACTTTTGGGACATTGGTGCCCCTGCCGTCCAAAAATTAGAGTATATATGCCCTTCACTCTAACGGAAGACTAAATAAGGACACGTGCCGCAATCTTATCCGTCGATTCGATATTTAATAAATGTCGGTTCGGTGGCTAAGATTATAACACGTGTATGTCCGTTAGTGTAAAGGATATATATGCTCTACTTTTTGGACAACAGGGGCACCAATGTCCCAAAAGTATGACGGAGGGTATCTGCATACTATTTACGATAGTTCGGGGATATATTTATCTTTTTTCCCTTCAAGTTTTTGCTTCCTCTCTGAGCTAGCTTTTGGGGTATGAGTTAGGTCCAAGACCTAATTTTATGGATCTTAACAGTTTACACGCAAATGTAAATTTCAGGCATTGATGATTAATTGTCAAAGCTATGTAAACAAGATGACTTTTGTTCTATCAGTCGATGAAAGCGTGATTCCTGATCCACATCAATTGTTGGACGATCTTGTACAATCTCTAAAGCTAATCAAAGATGCTGTGATAGAAAGAGGTCTTTGCCATGAGTAGAAAATGTTGTTTGACAACATAATGTTTAAATTGCACTTCTAGTTTTATGGCTCAAATGTAATTGTTCTATTTTCTTATATGGAAGTATCTTGTTGACAATAATATACACAAGTATAATGTTACTTAACAATGTCATGATAATCATCTATAATATATTTAAGGCATAATACATAAATACGATCTTTAACTTGGGCTAATTTATAATTGCATATGTTAAAATAATGATATTCACTAATAATAGCAAACAAAAATTTTATAATTCACTTATCCAAATTTATAATACAAAAAGTTAAGTTGTAAAACTAAATTAATTATTAGTTAGTTTATATTTTTGTTACAACAATAACATAATCATTATTATCTGAAACATGTGGTTTGAGGAAGGTAAGATGTACTAAAACTTTATCTCTATTTATCTTTGTGAGATAGAAATTTTATTTCTTATAAACCCTAAGCACAACAAAAAAGTAAATTCCCACTACAGATATTTTTGCTAAGCTAAAAATATAGGAAAAATGCATAAGTACCCCCCCCCTCCCAACCTATGCCCGAAATCCCAGAGACACACTTATACTATAATAAGGTCCTATTACCCCCCGAACTTATTTTATAAATAATTTTCTACCCTTTTTGGCCTACGTGACATTATCAACCAGATAACTTGAAAAAATTGTCAACACGTGCAGGGCCTAGAAGATAGTGCGACTTAGGCCAAAAAGGCGTAGATAATTACTTATAAAATAAGTTTGGGAGGGGGGGGGGGGTAAATTGTAACATCTTGCAACTAGAAAGAACTAGAAGGAAGTTTAAAATCTGGAAATAGTTATTTTTGGAAAGTATAAGGAAATCTGGAAAATTTTAAGTAAGTTAAATTGAGTTTTTGGTTAACTTCAAACGACCATAACTCCTAACTCAAGATGAGTTAGATGTATTTCCAGATATGGTTGGAAAGCTTTTGGAACGATCTTTCCAATTCCACCAAGATTGCATGAATCTGAGTTCGTATGAGTGAGATGCCCCCATTGGAAGTTGTGCTGTTCAAATAAGGAAATGTCCAATCCGGATTTTGAAGGGTATTTCAGTCTTTTCCTTATCCAATTAATTAAATTCGTTTTAGTGAATTAATTAAGGGCCTAAACTGAACCTTGTCAGTTTTATGCTTTTGGAAAAGAGTTAGGGTTTTAGAGAAGAGGAAAGAAGAGGAGAAAAGAGAAGGAGAAACAAGGAAATCGTCAAGTTCGTCGAGTTTAGCTTGTGGATTTCGTCGGGGGTGATCCGTACAAGGTATGTGAGTCTCTCATAGTGTTGGGTTCGTTCACCCACGTGCCAAACATGTCTAGTTCAGTGAAATTCTTCCTAAAAAAGTTTGAAAGTTGCTGTTCTTGACATGAATTCTTGAATTTGAATGTCGTTTCAAGTTAGGTTCTTAAGTACTTTTGTTGGGTATCTGTATCTAAAAGTAATTTGAGAAAAAGAACTGAGTTTCGGTGAATTGGGGCTGGAAAACGAAGATGAAATTTCGTCCGACGAAATTCGGTGATGGCCGCGCGTCGTGCGCCTAGTGCCCAGATTTGAAGTTTCAGCTTTGCATCGCGGAGTTGACACGAGGTGTTCTGCCTCAAAAGACATTTTCGGAACCAAAATTTAATTATGCCTCCGTGTCGCGGACCCACCTTTAAATCTTGATTTTCGGTCTTTTCTCATGTTTAGCTATCTAAAATCACTCCTAAACAACATGAGATCTTTCCAATCACAAATCTTAATCCTTGAATCCATAATTCAACTCAAGAATCAGTTAAAAGTCAAGTCAAGAGAAGTTCATTTCAAGTTTTCGCAAGTCTTTTACAAACGTTTTAACTTTGTTTTAAGACTTAAGTTTTGAGCTCAGTAAAAGAGTAAAGCTTGAATTTCATTTCTTCAAAAGTATATGGGGACTATGTATTCCCAAAGAGTTTAAAATGTTTTCACATTTAAACAAGAAAGGAAACCTTGATTTCCAAAGAGCCTTTGGGCTAGTTTTCAGAAAAGAGTAATTGTTTCCATAATTAAGCAAGAAAGGAAACTTTGATTTCCAAGATAGCCTTTGGGCTAAGTTTTTGAGCAATAATCTCAAATCACAGAAGAAGCACGTTTTTAAACATAAGAGCTAATATTATATTTTTGGGAGTAGTATTGAGCACCGATATGGGGATGCAAGTTCACATTAACTCAAGTCTCCATAAACCATGTAGCCATCATGGGTAGAAAATGGTCATACTTCTTAGATGAATCCTTTTCGCATAGACTAGTGGATCCACTTAGTAGTTCAGGTCCTATACCATGGCAAGGCATAGGATGGCCCGGGCAGCGTGGGGCTAATAACGTTGTATCATCACTATAGTTCTTAAGTGTTGGTTGTCGGTTAGAGAAACTCCCACATCAGTAATTGCATGGTTCCTCAAGGGGTTCTGCTTAGTATGTATGGGGTATGAGACTTCATTCATGCATTGCACAAGTAGACTTTGAGAGGGATCATGATATGTTTTTTTATGATTTTATGATTATGAGTTGACATCATGTGTTAAACAATTTTCTTTTTCTTTATATTGCACTTGTTTTAAATTGCTTTATAATGAAATTAGTTCAGTTAAGTAATCATGAGTTGAGAAGAGCGACGGTAAGTGTTTCTTTCAGATTCTTTTTCTAGCCTATGTTGTTTAGCATTCCAACTCGCACACTCGTACATTCAATGTATTGATGCTAGTTGGCCTGCATCATCTTATGATGCAGACACAAGTAACTAGGATCGGCATTCCATTTCATTGTTTTCTAGTTTAGTTCATTAGGATGTTGTGGGGTTTGTCCCAACATCCATCTCAGTTATTATTAGAGGCTTCATAGACAGTCATATGTTAGTTCTTTAGTCTTTTCATTGTAATTATTCCATGTTGAGACTTGAGTTTGCCTTAATGGCCAGTTGAATGTTCCTTTATAACATTCTAGTTTATTATATGAACTTATCTTTGTTGAGTTTAAGTCTTCCCCTGAGTTAAGTAAGCCAGGACAAGGGTTCGCTTGGGGCCAGCAATGGTCTTTGAATGCTAGTCCCGCCCAGGGTGTAGGCTCGAGGCATGAAAAACTTGGTATCAGAGCATAGAGTTCAATAGTCCTAGGGAGTCTATAAAGCCGTGTCGGTAGAGTCCTAATTATAAGTGTGAAGTGCACCACATCTATAATTAGGAGGCTGCAACATTTAGGAAAATTTGTCATTTCTTTCACACTCATTCGTGCGTTAGAGTTTGATCTCTAAAAGGTTTCCTTCTAATTTGTGCCTGCGCGTGTTTCAGATAATCATGCCTTCACGACGAGCAGTTAGAGGTCGTCTAGCTAGGAGAAATGTTGAGGAAGAGGAGTTACCTAATGCACCTGAAGTACAACCTCAAGGGGAAGTTAACCATGTTGAATTCTGTGAGACTATCCAGATGTTAAGCCAAGTTGCGACCATCAAGTTGGACAGAGAAGTAATCACCATAAAGTGGCTGATACTTCAAGAATCCTTGAGTTTTTAGGGATGAATCAATCAAGCTTCACAAGTTCAAGTGTCACAGAGGATCTAGAGAACTTTGTTGAAGTACTTCAGAAAATTTTCGAGATATTGCCTGTTGTTGATGCTGAAAGGGTGGCTAGCTGCATACTAACTGAAGGATATCACTAGAGTCTGGTTCGACCAATGGAAAATTAATAGGGCTTAGGATAGGCCAATAGTGAGTTGGGCTGTGTTTGAGAGTGCTCTCATGGAATGTTTCTTTCCCCGTGAGTTGCGAGAAGAAAAGATAAGAGAGTTTCTCATACTTAATTTGGAGTCTATGAGTGTTCATGAGTACATTCTGAAGTTCTCACAACTTTCCCGCTATGCCTCGAGGATGGTTGCTGACATGAGGAGCAGGATTAGATTATTTGTTGCTGGGTTGTCTCGTCAGTCAAGCAAGGAAGGCAAGGCAACAATGTTGATAGGGGATATGAACATAGATAGGCTAATGATCCATGTGCAACAAGTTGAGGAGGATAAGCTGAAGGATAGAGAAGAGTTTAAGAATAAGAGGGCTAAGACATTAGGGAACGAGTTCATGCAGCAAAAGAGTAGTGCGAACTGGTCTTCCTTCTAACAAAAACAGAAGGGACCTGCCCCATCATCAGCTAGTGCACCTGCACCTAAGAACAATAGTGAGTACAATAGTCAGAATTCCCAGAGTTTCAGGGCTAAACCTGCCTATTCTCAAGGCAGTATGGCACAAAGGGGTAGTAAGCCTCCTGCATGTGCTAAGTGTGGCAGAAACCACTCAGGTATTTGTCGTGTGGGCTCTACTGGTTGTTTCAAGTGTGGTCAGAATGGTCATTTTATGAGGGAGTGTCCTGAGAACATGTAAGGTAATAGTAATAGGGGTAATAGGCCCCCGCTTTCTTCAGTTGCTCCACCAGACAAAGTTGCACCTCGAGGAGCTACTTCAAGTACTGGCGGGGAAAAAAACCGCTTGTATGCTATCAATAGTCGCCAAAAGCAAGAGAATTCGCCAGATGTGGTCACTAGTATGATCCAAGTCTTTAATTTTGATGTTTATGCTTTGCTAGACCTAGGAGCAAGTTTATCTTTTGTAACCCTTTATGTTGCTATGAACTTTGATGTTATTCCTGAGCAACTTAGTGAACCATTCAGTGTTTCTACACCTGTTGGTGAGTCCATTCTAGCAGAGCGAGTTTATCGTGATTATCCCGTTTCCGTCAATCACAAGAGTACCATGGCTGATTTAATTGAGTTAGACATGGTAGATTTTGATGTCATTCTTGGTATGGACTGGCTTCGTGCCTGTTATGCCTCAGTTGATTGTAGGACTTGAGTAGTCAAGTTTCAGTTTCCAAATGAGCCAGTCTTAGAGTGGAAAAGCAGTTCAACAGTGCCTAGGGGTCGTTTCATTTCGTACCTTAAGGCAAGAAAGTTAGTTTCTAAGGGGTGTGTCTATCACTTAGTCCGAGTTAATAACTCA